TTTTTAAACATTACTGCATATTATTTTAATGCTTTGTAGAACAGACCAGTTTCGTCTTTATTTTATGTGCTTTGTATTTATTTAGCATCTCAAGTAAAACACCTTTTAAATATTTATCAGCTATACCTGCTTTGTACTTCTCACTATTTAGTTTCTAGTGAACATTATTTTTCTCTATTCATCTTGCAAGCCATCTATGGGGTAACATAACATTTTCTAACATTTAAGTGAATTCTACAGCTTTTGTGATCAAAAGAAATTGAGACATTTTTTAGTCCGATACCTTAAAACTACTCTAGTTGAGTAGTTTCAACGTCTCTGAATTTTCTATCATTTTCTTTTCTTCCTTGAGACATTTGCATTTTTTTATTGGTTTTCCATCAATTATGGTTGTTTATTTATATAACCTGCACAATGTTGTTTAGGAAATCACTAGTTTAAATGCAGTTTCTCTTTGGCTGTGTTTATCAAGAACATCATAATCCTTTAACAAAGTATTAATTTCTTTCAGTCTGAAATTATTTTACTTGGGTATTTTTAACATGCTACCAGCTTTAAATACAAATAATGCATCTTGTAGTGATTTTTCAATCTTAAAACACTTATTTCTAGCTACCAAAAAAGATTACACTGTATCTCTTAAGTTGACCCTCAAACTTCATGATTACTGGCATGACTATAATACATTGTTTGCTTCTTCAGCCTATAATGACAATTGTCTTTCCATCCAAAGTCTAAAAATGTGTGATAATATCAGAAAGCATGTCATGAATTTTTCTGAAAACTTCCTATGAACATAATGTGAAGCATTCCATCATAAACATAAAAATCTTAAAAGATGATATGCAGAGATAGCATACTGTCAGAATATTTATACTGTCAGAAGTCGTTAATCCGGACTCATCGGGACTTCGGCGATTCCGGATTATCGACTTTTCCGGATTATAGATCATCAGTTCAAATCTGGTAAGATGGCATGCAGAAATTATAAAATTAAAAATATGAAACTGTAATTTATGAAATAAAGAACAATTATGATATAAAGGGTATCAAAATTTACAAAAAAATAAAGCTTAATATTTATTTGTTTACTTTATTAAACATTTCTTTCAATGTAAGTTGTTTAAGTTGCTTCTTTTTTATGTGATAATACATTCTCTTTAATTCTATAAACAGACATAATTTCTTGTTCAGTTACAAAGTTCCGCTGTTCAAGTCCTATAATTGCTGTGTCGAGAATACCGACTAATTTGTCAATCGAAATTTTTTCGTTTTCAATAACCTCTGCCACTTTCTTCGCTATCGGAAGCGAATTATAATGACGAGGAATTTGATTTAAATCATATCAAAGACGGAGTACATCAAGATGAAATACTACATTTAGTAAGGAATTATAAGCCAAATAAAATAAAAACATCTGCTCTGAAGATAAGGATAGTGCTGACAGATCAACTTCCAATTAATTGCGCGGCGCCGCGGCATTAAAGATAAAGTTTAGATAAACAAAGGATATGCCTTTATCCATTTTTTGCAGCAATTCTACTTTTTGTTAAATGGACTTCGAAACATACTTTCGCTTTGTAGATCCTTTACATATTAATAAATATATATCAGAAATTCTATTTGACATAATCGAAAGTTCAAGCTTACTTTTATTAAATTGCTCTAACAGTCTGCCAAAAATAATAACCCAAATCCAATTCGAAGATTAAGGAACAACGCAATCTGCAACATTAACTGAATTAGATAATTTTAGCTTAGCTTATACTGTCTGTTATACATTAAACGCGCATTCGTAAACGTATTTTGCGCACGCGTATTTGCAGCTGTAAAGGTCTTACGCGCTTGCGCTACGCGCATGCGCATGCGCAGAAAGTTTGTAGCTTTGAGGTCCGGATTATGGGTGTCCGAATTAACGACTTTTGACTGTATACTTACTGATATAGAGATCTTAAAAGATGATATAGAGAATACATTTCAAACCTATCATCTGGCACTCAAGGAGAAATATTTACTCATTATTGATGCCTTTAGAAATCGGCTTTAGTTAACCTTAACATATGGAAATTCTTCTCCTTTTAGCTCTAATCTAAATAAAAGGTTTTGTAGAGTATCTGACAGAGACTAGAGAGCCAGAACTATATTGGCTGAAATTTCATCCAAACTCATTTTATTGAATCATTACATACCTAAATAATATATAATACACGGTGCTCTTTGTAAATGGGCTTTCTTGCTTGTTACATGAAAGTGAAGGCTATTTTAATTGTAAAGTTATGTGTAACATGTTTCAGATTGTTTCTTTTGTTATTCAGTAGATGTTTTCTCTTACAACACATCCTAAATGTGCTAGGCTTATAACTATTTACACAACGTCAACTTGTATAAAGTATTGCTTTTGGGAAAAGCGTTTTTCTTAAGTGCATTGATGTACTACTATACATGTAAAAGTATTTATAAGTTGTTTGTTTTTAAAATATAATTTTGTGTGCATACAAATTATGTTCTCTACATTCGTGCAAGTAATTTTTAAAATTACCTATATAAATTTTCATAAATACATTGCTTTGAGTAGTTTATTCTTTAAGTTTTCATAAGTAAATAGACTCAATGCATCTGTTCACTGTATGAAATATTAAATTTCTGTATGTTTATTAGCTGTAACTTAATGAAATACAATAAATTTATGTAAAAATTTTATTTTCCTCATAAAAAGGGCTTACATGAACCATTAACATTATTGAAGCTTTACATTAACATTAAATTTTAGCTTCAAGGTAAGCTTTACGTTCATGTAAAAAGCTTTAGTATTGAAACAGAAATGCTCTGCAGGATATCATAAATTTGTTTATGAAGAATGATTTTTGATACTGATGAAACATGCTGAAATGTATGAATTATCGAGCTCATAAAAATTCGGTAACACTAAGCTGATAATTTTTTTTTTAGTACGTAGCCCAAGTGAGAATTGTTATTCTAATATCCGCATTCAAAATTTAATGTTGTAGTGCAGTTTATCTTTGAATGAAAATTTGAATAATGCAAAAATAAACACATTGAATTTTCTCCATTTAGATCCATCCTCCACATTTTATCTTGCCTGGAAGATAGGTTTTTGGCAGGAAGAGAGGATTTATTTTGCTCAGCCCTTCAATTTCTGCTTTTTGTTGTGAATGAAGCATAATTTCTATCTATACAGAAGTTGAAAGAAAATAGATTTGATTATACATTTTAAATTTATACATGTATAATAAACAGATTAGACAAATTTATTGTTCTAATATATAGATTTCCAAGTGTTATCATAAATTAATATATTTACTTGATCTTTCCAAGAAATATTAGCTTGCATATAATTCCTATTAAGTAAGCTTTTAGCCTTTAAAATATCATATCTAGATAAGGTTTGAATTGAGGTTGTGGGTAAGTTGAGCCTGCAAAAATAACATATATATTAATTTAGTTAAAAATAGAATATCTTACTTGATAGTACATTTAAGACAATCAAAGGCATTAAGAAAGGTTCCTTAGCGGAGATGGCATCTCTGCACCTCATGCAAAAGGTATTTCTGCTAGAAATTAATACAGTTAAACCTTCGCTGTCATGAATTTCAAACGACAAAAAAATCAAGAGTTTGTGCTAAATGGAGGCTCAAATTTTATTTTTGGAATAGTTTTTTCATAAATGTTAATCATTTACAGTATATAGGTACATATATAACAACAGTATACAGTCAAAAGTCGTTAATTCGGACACCCATAATCCGGAATGATCTATAATCCGGACCTCAAAGCTAAAATCTTTCTGCGCATGCGCCCCGCGTTGAAGCACGCGCAGAATACGTTTTCGCGTGCGCGTTTAATGTATAACGGACGGTAATAAGCTAAAATTATCTAATTATCTATTTCAGTTAATGTTATGATGTTGCTGTGATTGCGTTGTTCCTTAATCTTCGAATTGGATCCGGCTTATTATTTTTTGCAGACTGTAAGAGCAATTTTATAACAGTAAGCTTGAACGTTCTATTATGTCAAAATAGAATTTCCGATGCTGGAGCTCCCAAAGGATCTACAAAACGAAAGTATGTTTCGATATGTCCATCAAACGAAAAGTGGAATTGCTACAAAAAATGGATAAAAGACTTTGTTTATCTAACCGTTCCGAAATCTGTTTATCAATTTCACACTGCTCTGCGCGGGTGGAGGGTGGGGGGGGACGACGGTCGCGCGCGCGCAATGAACTGGAAGTTGATCTGTCAACACTATCGTTATCTTCAGAGCAGATGTTTTTATTTTATTCGGCTAATAATTCCTTACTAAATGTAGTATTTTATCTCGATGTACTCCGTCTTTGATATTATTTAAATCAAATTCCTCGTCATTATAAATATCATGAATACAAATCAAATAGTTTTCTGGTTGCAATTTTCTAATTTCGGCTATGCGTAATGTATGCTTTACGCATGCGCGCGTTGAAAGAAATGTTTAATAAAGTAAACAAATAAATATTAAGCTTCTTTTTTTGTTAATTTTGATACCCTTTAGATCATAATTACTCATTATTTTATAAATTACGGTTTCATATTTTTAATTTTTTAATTTCTGCATGCCATCTTACCAGATTTAAACTGATGATCTATAATCCGGAAAAATCGATAATTCGGAATCGCCGAACTTCCGACGAGTCCGGATTAAAGACTTTTGACTGTATTATGTATTGTCATTGAAACACAATATTTACTGAACTGTAACTTGAAAAATTATACTTACTGCTGCAGATGAGAATGAAAATGCTGGCAACTGTACGTATGGTTTCCATAAAAGTAGTGGTTAATTTGGATGTTAGAGCAAAATGTTCTAAAGTATCCAAGGCATGTAATACTACCTGGCGGGTTGGTAGAATGGTATTGTATTCCTTTCGCCTGTGATGACATTTCTTGCACCTTAGACACAACTGATTTCATTGGAGCACACACTCTCCTGCACCATACCTCTGGACTCTCATAAAACTGGAACTTTTTATTAATTACAGTAAGCCTTCATTAACACGAAACCCAAGGGACCGAAAAGTCAAGAGTTCATATTAACTGAGGATCATCATCTGCATTAACAAACTCCTCAAAACTAATAGCAGGATTCACAATATTTTAATTAAGAATTATTAAAGATTTAACCTTAGTTGTACTAGCTGACTTTTAAGGAATAAAAAAGCACATCTGAATACAGAATTGCATTTGTTGTTTGACCTCATTGCTGATGTGATGATAACAATAGTCAAGCAGTGTTACTCATGCTGAGTTATGAGGTTTTCATTTAAGCATTACAGAACATTTCTGAATGTAGCCCAAGCAGAGAAAGCCTGGACTGAAATTTTGTTCTTGTTAAAGGGAGTTGTTTACTGTTCTAACGTGAAGCTTATTCATTTTTATTTATTAGAATTTACTCTACTGGTCCTCCAGTAAGCCTTGTGGGCACTACTTATGTATTTGCCATTGGCTAAGAATAATCATAGCCAACTTAATATGTTCGAACATTTAGCGATTCGGCAGCTGTCTATTCAGGAATCTTTTTTTATTTCCTATTAGCAGCTGCTGTGGTTCCATTCGCAGTCCCACAGATAAAATGCACACTTTCAAGATTTACATTCACTTAGCAATGAGGACTATTCGAAAGCATTGGGGGGGGTAACAATGATTTATGCATCCGACACTTTCACCTACAATCTCAATAGTGTCCTGTATCACCTCAAAAAGTCATTTCTGTGAATGCATTTCATTCCAAGATCTGCTAATTTCAATCCTGTGTACATTTTTGCCAGATGTTTTGGTATTCAGTAGGTTTGTTATTATTGTTTTGTGGTTAAAGGAGAAACCCAGGGAGCAAGCCATGCAACTCAAGTTCATGAATAGTTCTGATAATGGGGTTCATAAATAGTTCTGATCGCTGTGTTGCATGTAAATTTGTAGCTAATGAAATTACTTTATCTTCTAATCAAATAAACTTATTTAAACATGTAGGACATCAACTCTCTCATAACTTACTTTTGTTTTTCTCTAATGACAATGAAAAAAGTTTACATAGAAAAGAAAATTATCGGTTGGAGCGTCACACACATGTAAAAAAGCAACCCTAGACGCAACAATAATGAGGCCTAGATACTAACTTAACTCGGTGGATAGCTCTCGCATTGTAAAAGCAAAGATAAAAAGATGCTATAGAATAACTACGTATTAATTCTTTTCTCCTAAGATTCCTTTCGCCTAAGATACTCAAATCATATTTTTCTTCAGACAGAAGCTCTCTGTTCGTGTTTTTATGAAACACTGATGAATTTTCAGTAGCTAGTATCAATTTCAGTCTTAAACATAATAAAAAAAATAATAATATTACTGAAAAATGGGCACTTTAGAGGGGCACCAAGCCAACTGTATGCAAATTGCGCTATTATTTTTCATATCACAATACATGAAGTATGTAAACGTTACATCGCAAAGCATTGTGATTTACTATTTCTTGATTTTTATTGTTATTAATTATAGCCGAATTTTTCATTTAAAAACTGAGATGGATTGTATTGTTTGGCAATTACCAAATGATGAACAAGCTGCCATCCAACTGTTTCAAGATAGAAAAATTATTAACAAAGTAAGACTTTGTTCGAATAGTCACAAGATTTAAATTAAGTTTTGACTCAACATCAAAATAATGCCGCTGCCTACGATGATACTGGAAAAAGAAAAGATTGTGGAGGCAAACATGTTTTGAAGTATCACCTATCCTGATCCTTACCATTATTCAGTTTATATATACATAGTGATTATAATTAAAGGTCCACATTTAAAAGACTAAAAAAAAAAGAACCTCTGTCCTGAAATTTGATTTGAGTAAATATACTAAAAAAATGGGAATTTGTATGGCCAAAGAAAAATAATAATTCAAAATTTTATCAATAGATGGTACTGTATGTATCTTGATATGCTTAGTAAGATGTTACATGCACACCACTTATTAGTCTCAATAAAAATACGGACTACATGGAGTTTCCATTAAAGCCTTCGATTGCGTCTGACACGAGCATACCTGGACTTAAATCTACACAAAAAAAAAAAAAAAAAAAAAAAAAAAAATTATCGAACATATACATTTATTACAAACAAAAAGTTCAAGGTTTCAATAGGAAATGTCCTTTCCCTGGAAGCATTATTCAAGCGGGAGTGCCCCAGGGCAGTGTTATTGGATCTCTTCTACGTGGCTGACTTTCCGAAGACTACCTGATATCACAGGTCCATGCTGCCGTGTTATGCAGATGACAATGCACTAGCAGTGAAGTCTGCTAACATCAATCAAGAGATTCACAAACTCGAAGAGTATATCCCTCCTATTGAAGATTGGTGCAGAAATGGAAAATCTATGAAAATGCCCAAAAGGCTCAATTTCTGATTATTAAAAGCCGGAAAAGAGCTACAGTTATATCAATAAAAACTTACTGCTTTTCAATGAAACCATTCCAATTGTAAAGCAAACGAAGTATTTAGGAGTAATTCTGAACATATGACTAATCTGGACCCACTACGTGCAGTATGCTACACTTAAAATATGCACCCTTTTTGCAGCACATATGATTAATCAAAGCTTTCCTATGTTGTGTTGCTGTACCTGAGCAATGAATATGCTTTTGCAACTATGTATATGCTCATCTGATATACCATGCCCACTGTGCAAAAAAAAAAAAAAAAAAAAAGGGGGGGCACAGTTCTATATCTCTCGTTCTTTTTCATGTCTCGAAAGCATTACTTAGGATATGTATTAGATTCATTTTTTATACCAATGTTCTAATATAGGTATTTTGACACTAATCAAACTTTTTCTGAAATGACATGCCAATTTTTTTTTTTTTTTTTTTTTTTTTTTTTTTTCCCGTATTTCGATTCTACGACTCAAATTATGCTAAACTGCCAAATTTTGTAAAAATCACACAAGTAGTTTTTAAAAAATTAGCTCTCAAAATCTCAGCTCTTCAATGTTAATTGAATTTGGTATATATTTATTAATCTCTTTTTTTTTATTAAACTTATTTGTTTCTTCCTTTCACATTTCGAAATTTAGATTCATTATAAATACAATTAGCCCATTTTTTATGGTTTATTTTTAAAATTTGTACTTTTAGACAATTTTTATAAATTTTTCGTAAATAATTTTGAATTATAATCTATAAAAAGTTTACCATCATCTTAAAGTAGATGTATTTCTAAGCATACCTGCAAAAAATTAGTTTTTTTATTCAAAATTTCAGAAGATATACGTGAATTTATACATATGTTGCTGCGTTTTGAAATTTGGTAAATTTGTTGAAAGCGATAATGTGGTTTAGGCACTTAAAATTATTTGAAAGTAGAAACGAAGTAACTTTTTTTTCCGCTCATGCGCAATGTGA